TGGAAAGGTACGTGTTCTTCAGGTTCATTCCGCAATTTTGTCTCTATTGATCTATTAACGATGCGGTAGGTAATCTACGCTCTGGATAGACATGTGCTTGTTGACTTCTACTATGTCGAGTTAAAATCTGAGTGGTATTGGCATTTAGTTACACTTCACAGGTGACCCGGTTTCTTTTTCATCGTCTGACGTAATATTATTGTTTAATAGGCTGTAAAATGCAGGCTTCGATGACATTTCCATGTATCTTTGCTGCCTTAGTTCAGCTGTTTTGTTCGAGTGTGTGCGTACCCCACCTCTGTTGGTCAAAATTGACCAGGGTGCATTTGCTCTAATGAATGCATCCCTGGTTTTAGGGGCTTCTGCTACCAAACATCGGTTACTTGTACCTATGATGTTTACTGGTGTTACTATACACTTTAGTTGATTCAAAATATTTGGGCAAAATGGTGATAGCAATAGCGTCTCGGGCTTTCCCTCGGCAATAGTTCTTTAGTTACAGGAACTTCTGCCCTGGATCGGTGACCCGACACACGACGAAATTATCAAATCAAACACGGACGAAAACAAATTTTCTTCTGCATCGGTTCATTCCCCAGGCCGTACAGATGCTTTAGGGATTCGGTGTACGTACGTGATTGATCTTTTTCCCAGTTGCGATTTGCGTGCTTACGTTCCCCGCAGTCAACAGGAAACATGCCTGAGTGTCGATTAACTTGTTTCATTGTATAGAATTGTATATTGTCGTGCACCGATATCTTTTGTGTTTATCGACTATTTTCTCAGTGTTCATCACAACCCACTGACTAAATATTTTCCACTTTGCTCTACACAGGTGGTTCGAGCTATTTGTTTATTGAATCATCCCATTCCAAATGTTCAAAGCGCAGCGTCCTGTCAGATTATCATCCCTCAGAACGCATCCGAAAGGCATCATGGTAGGTCCTTTTACGAACATTCTCACATATTAAACCTTAGATATCTACATATCCTGTGTATCCCACTCACATATGGTTTGTCCGGAAAACTTCTTTGTGGCATTGGTGGCAACCACTGTTGAGACTGACAAACCACATGATGAATTGAAACCGGGTTTGGATCTACTTGGTCCCATTGAACAAGTATTCTACTCCATTGAAGATCTCTACGAACCCGTGGATGATGGTCGCTCCAGCAAGGTACGTTCTTTGTTTAAAGCGTGTAACATGTTCAGAAACGGCAGTATTTTTTTAGTTTTGATATAACATTCTGTTTAAAAAGACTGCAATAAGTCATGAAATTTAGAGCAAATTCCTTCTCATATGATAGTACTGGAGGATTTGATGATGAATTTCGTCGTATAGGGCAAACGAAATGCAAACTGAAAAGCTAAGAAGCACTACACAGCTGTTTCAACCTAGTTGGGTCTCATCAGCAGTGAGCGAATCCATCAACCCAATGGGGGATCGAACCCGGGACCTCACGGGTCGAAACAGCTGTACAGTGCTCTCTAACTTTTCAGTTTACACTTCGTTTGCCCCATACAAGACGAAATCCAGTATGCCAAATTCAGATTCTTAGTTTGATAACATGTTTATACTCAAAGTAGGATGGCAGTTAATTCGTAACGCACTGTGCACGTAGCTTACCGCATTAGAATTGTCAATAATAATGGAGTAATTGTTTCACAGTTATCAATTGCATGTGTATATCGATCATGGTTTGGAATAGTTTTCATGCTTTAGGAGTCACTTTCTTTCACTGAACGATTATGATAGGTTTCAGTTTCAGTTTGAACAACCATTAACCACGCATATTCAAGCGCCGGTTTTGGTTGCTGTCTTTTGGCTGCCCATTTGGATGAAGAATAGGAAAAGAAAGGAAAGTTGGAAGTGGAGTTGAAAAGAAAATGGAGAAGTTCAGTGGTCTAAGGTTGCGAAGAAATTGAGGAGATGCACGAACGCCACTGTTTACGACACCCAGCTATATCGCTCAGTGTCTCTAACCATCGGTTACGGTCATCCCGAGGTCCCCAACCAGGGAGCCTAACAGGACCTATGTGACCCAGTCTCCTGGTTAGGGTTTTCATACCCTCGTGCCAGGTCTTAGCTCGACCACCCTTGACTTTTTTCCACTCGGTATCTTCTTCGGCGAACATCGCTCGCCGTGGTAACCTACCTGGTGGCGTAACACATGTCCCAGCCAACGTAATTTAAGGAGGTCAACCACTTGCTCCAGTGGGCGACCGTATTTACCCAAAACTCTGCCTCTAACCTCAGCATTGTTCATCCGGCTACCCCACCAGATTCGTGCAATGCTGCGTAGACACCGGTGTTCAAACACCGACAGTTTGTCTTTATCTTGTTTTCATAATGGCCAAGTTTCTGCACCGAATAGCAGAACTGGCCGAACTGTCGCGGCATACACTCAACTCTTATGATAGGTAGCAATCTACGAAGAAGTACAATCTAAATCGCCATGCGTTGCGAACCTTGTTTACTTCATTTCTATGGTCTTGCACTTAGGTAGCATAGTTTTGATTGTTATCCTTCAGCGAACTCAAACAGCGGATCTATTTTGAATGAGAGAAAACAGCATTACTTTTGTGATTTCAAACAAACTGATCAGTAACCAGGTGAAGAAATTTATTGCTCATTCTCCACCCTGAACCATGGTTGGTTCCTGCAATACCGGGTATATTTGTTTGCGTAGCTCTTTCAGAACCACTCCATTTATGAACGGACACCATAATTCCATGTTTTTAGATGGGCCAGATGCTGCCAACCGCAACACACGTAACGTAGGGGCCTTCATTGGATAAAATACACTTCCTGGATATAAGTATATGAATGAGGCGACAATAGATTAGCGGATACGCATGTCTGACGAGCGGCAAGAATCACGAAACCCACATTTTGCTTCCAAGGAAACTTTTTGGAGCCATACGTATACTACTTATTGTAATATATATATATATATATATATATATATATATATATATAGCCACTGTTTTCATAGTGATCTTCTTTGTCTTTTTATCTGCAGCTATTCATCTCTTCGAGCTATGATGCCTCTACGCATTTCGAAAGCACCTGTGAGGACGTATTGAATTTATACGAACGAATCACAGGACAACCATTCGATTTCAGCAAAGTTAGTGAAATGATGAAAAAGTGGAAGGAGGAACCGTGAAAGCATGCAAATCAACCTAATTGATTAAATTCATGGCTCCCTGGAAACTCCATCAATTTCTCTATTGCTTTTCTCAACATGCACTCCACTATGTGAAGTTCTGTTGCTTAATCACCGAATGCCTCGTGTTTGTACCGCTTCGCTTGACGTTCCAAGGTGTTTGCGTTGGTTTCGCTGTGTCAGACGGTTTATCTGTGATCGTGCATTCACCGAATCTCTCTCTCTCTTCCTCATTAGGGCTATTTTATTTTTTTTCGCTCTCAATCCATTGTTTTTCGTTCGGCCTATTTTATTTAACTCTTTCTTTTGGTTTGTTTTGCTGTTGTTCGCTTCCCGTCCTTCCCACTGTTTTACTGACTTGATCGGTCTATTGTGCGCACTTTCTGACGAGAAACCCCCGTGATATTTGTTCTGTTAACTCCTATCACCAAGGACGTTGATTGCACACCCGATTGCGAGTTGAGTGCTGAGAAGACGTGAAGACCATCTTTTTTCTTCAGAAATGCGATGCCATACACTGCTGCACTTGTGACTATTTCTTTTATTCTGTGGTGCTTTGTGGCACACCGGTCGAGCTTCGGTTGTGTGATAACGAACACTACGGACGGTACCGCAGTTGATGACAAAATGATATGGTTATTGATTGTATAAATGGAAGCTGGAATATTCTTATCCTAACTATCATGAAAGCAAACGTTCGAAAATGAATTATTTCACTCTCTCATTATTTAACAGTACTTGAGCTCTTTTCTCTGGACACGTTTATGCTCACAAAAATAGGGTATTCCGATGCTGTCATGGCCTTCTCAGATCCTGCCGACGAAACTCCAGTGGCTCTTGTAAACTGCGTCTAACAAGTAAAAAAATCTTTGTGACAAAGAGGTGCGTCCCAGTTGACAGTGGTGGTAAATTTTCGACCCAGAACTATCTGAAGATAAGTTGTTTGGAATTTTGAGGTTGATAAAGACGGTCTGTTGTCACTGACCTAATCGTGAAAGGACAGTTTTGTGGAATCGTTAGGTTCGGCACTATTTGGTCTAACAGGTCTGGTTTAAGATCATCTGTCAGTTCGTTTCTGTCCACAGCGGACCTCCCGGATAAAATTGCGATTATTGACAATCTGATCTGGTAAAATTGTGTTTATTTGTCGTACTTGAATGTTTTCTTCTAGAATGTGATTTTACTCGTCACCCATCAGCTGTAACTAGTCCGATGGATTACTGTCGGTGGAATTGAGAAGCATCTTCAATACAACTAAAGATTCTTGTGGACGTTGTGTTTAGAAAATATGTTTCAAATCTGTCCGAACGCCGACAGTGTGACAAATAGCTTTTATTTTGCTCGCGGGTTATATTCCACAGTTTTAAGGTGCTCGCCAGACAACCGCGCTGTTCGTCAGCTTATCAAGGGAAACAGATTTCTGATTCACTGTTAAATTCCTCTTTAGGCACCTCCCAGGAGGTCGAATATATTATTCCCAAAATGACAGCACAACCAGTTTTGTTCGCGATGAAGCTTGCCCTGAAAAACTAGAAGTTATTTGATAGTCCGACCTGGTTGGGTTTCGTCAGCAATGCGAATCCACCGATCTTAATAGGGATTGAACCCGGAGCCTCACGAGTTGAACAGAAGCGTATGATCCACATGGCTGCTGATCGGATCGTTTATCTATGTGCGACATAGCACAATTCATTGCTGGCCTCCAGGGCTCTGACTCAGTTGAAAACATTCTGACCCCGGTTAAATGTTACACTAGGTTATTTTACTGTCACCAGTTTAAAGTGATATCGGCATATGACTGGTCAATAAAACGGTACACATTGTAGAAAGATGCTTGATTTTCTGTGTATTGATGGAATAGACCGCGGTTATAAAGTATCACTGTTAATCGCATGAGATAGGAAAACAAATAAAATATCGAGTATCAGAAATACTCTCTGAAATGTAGTTGATTACTAATACAGATTGATTCTTTAGCGGATCATGGAATGACCGTATACTAACACTTCTGTCCAATCCTCACTTGTTATTAGCTAACCGGGTTTCACAGGGCTAGCGAGACTAATGAGTTTTTGCTCATCTGGTGGTGTTCGCATAGTCCCGATCAAAATGATGTCCCTCGGTTCTGAAGATGAATGATCTCAGTCAACGAGGCCTGATCGGCAGTATACAGATTCTTGTCTCCGCTAGCATTGTGGTTGTCCGTTGATAGAGTAACCGTATTTGTTTCCGTTGGTGTCGTAACTAACATCCATCACTTCCTCATCTGCCTTCGGTTCTTTAAACTTAAAGCGCCGATGTTTGTGTACAGTCACTCTTCTGCTATGTCGCACACCTCAGTGATTCGAGGAAGTGGATACAATGCAGAAACTGCGACATAGCATGTTGGTCAGTAGTATATGCTTTTAAGCAGAATGAGAAATCAATTGGGATATTTGACAAAATAAACAGGATCGACGAAAATTACGTTACTTGCGTTACTTGTTCTCATCATTTATTGTCACCTGTTTATTTAAGGCGCAATTCGAAAAGGTAGAATCAATCAGATAGTCTTCGTTTATCGATGAAATTTTTCTTTTATGAAGTCCTCAGCTTGGCACTCGGCATTCACAACAACGAAGGGGATTTTTCCTGAGGAATCCTAATCGGAGCCTTCGACTTAGAAGTTTATCCCACAAGACAGTGGGACGTAGATCCAACGCGGGAGCGTGACCGAAGCACGCGTATGTGAACTTCTAGAGATCTGTCAAGCAAGACCTTCAGGTTTCGGTTCAGTGTTTTTCGCTGGTGCGGTAATTGACGGTCTGCTTTTCGGAATCGTCCCTTAGCCTCGCACCCAATATGATAAGCAGCATGTGGATGGACGATAGCTGTTAAATGAAGCGCGAAAACTTCTCTCACCGTCGGAAGGAAGCCCCAGGTACCCGGCGGGGTCTTACGTCCACGTAGTGGTTCTTTTTTACCAGTCAACTGCTCCTCCCCGTGCTTATGTGCTGGAGTGATATCTCGGGACGAGAGTGGACATTCTGAGAGAGCCAAGAGATGCCCAATCAGCTGGGTCTTGTGAGACTGAGCGTTGTTTGGCCTTTATTCACTGATCTGTCTGGCATGATTGGGTCTACGGCTGTGGAAATCGATTCTATGTAGCTCGAAGAGTCATGGAGGCACACAAGCCATCACACCATGTCAAGTAGCAGTCTCGTCGTGAAGTTGACCAGTCTGTACATCGATCAGCTGTCAAGTGAGTAAGTACCAGGAAGTACGACATACAGAGGGGACGAGATTGCATACTCAGGACGTACATTGTTGGCTATACAGTTGGTTTGGGTTTGCACAAAATTGGGAACATATTACAGAATGCCACTTTTCACGGATGCGACGTAGCAGAAGATTGACTGTATTATCTTAATCCAGTTTTCGGAAATCATCCTGATAGTTGTATAATGCCTGACTTACCTTGATATATCGTCATAGCTACTCGTCAGTGGGTTCAATTTATTGATGACATGCATCAAACATGCTTTTTGAATAACCCTTATGGAGTAGTATGTTGGGAGCACTGTTTTTTTACTTGTTCAGCTGTGTACGCCAATTGTTTTAATGCCGATAAAAATGCATCTTTCTTAAGAGAAATTGCTTTGATTCATAGGAAAGTTGAAATTTCGATCTGTGCACATACGCTTTAGGTGCATGATTGTCCGCTCTTTCCATTTGTCTCATTGTCTGTCTACTTAGCTGCCTTTAACGCCTAAATTTTAGCCCCTTATAATTACTTATCACCATGTATAGTTTCTCCGCAAGCGCTATCTCTCATTTGACCTCGAAAATCCCCGACCAGATTTGCATGCAACGTGGCAATCAATTAAAACAAATGAACTGTCGGGGAGAGAAAATTTCAGAAACAAATGTTAACTGATGATGCTAGATAAACAAGATCTGTTCCCATAGATGCGGTTATTTGCAATTAGTTCTAAGTTCATTTTGGATCTAGCCCCTCGCAAATTGTTCGCAGAAAATTTTTTTCATCACTTTTGGACCAGTGTATTTATGTCACTTCGGGGATAAATTCCGAGACTCTGACCGTGATTCAATTAATTTGACTGTCCCAGTGTATAGTTGAATTTATGAATAGTCAGTAGGCCATGCCAGGTGTGATGAGGGGTCGGTTCGTGCTATTGCTTATGCTTAATGCGACAGGTAATGTTCAGGATATTGTGAACGACTACATTCAGCGAGTTGCCACATGATGAGTATATCGAAAATGAGGAAAGTCAAGTGACGATGTTGACATTCAAACACAACTTCGCTTAGCTTTTGCTCATGTTTTTTGGCTTTGATCGTGAGCCGAGTTTAGTCGTTTATTCACTTATTCTATTTAATTAGCTCATGTACCTGGCACATGCAGACACGGACGCATTTGTTACACATTTTCGATCAAGGCGTGTGCTATTGAGATACCGTTTTTCAACTGACCCTGTCTGGGTTGTGTCCCAACGACGACGATGGTTCCGCTGCAGAAAAAACAACCATTTCTGACTGAATAAAAGAACAGTCTGGTTGCTGAGACGTGTTTTCTTTGTGCGCAATCAATCAACCAGTCAATACCACGGCTACATAATCATGAGAAATACAGCGATGGTCAAATGCTGAAATTCGAATGTGAAAAGATCAGTGCTTTGTCGGTGTGGCCTCGTAGCTCAGCTGGTAGAGCATGCGCGTACAAAGCGTAGGTGGTGTCCATGCGTGGGTTCGAATCCCACCCGGGGCCACTGAACTTTTCACAATCGACATAGAAACTTCAAATCTGCCAAACAACAATTTGAACAAATGCGGCAAGGTCATGAGCGCAGTTTGAATGACCATAGCAAACGAGAAAGTCATCATCATCATTGTACAGCAAAGCGAAATTCACCGATCGCTACCAAACTCATATTGTATACAAGGTAATTGAGAATGCGTAAAGAGGATAGGGATTGGACTTAATTTTAGGGACGGGAAGAGAAAGCGAACCTCAAGGGTTAACACACAGATTACACAGTCCAACTGTGCATACATACTATTTCAAGTATTCCGGTCTGATAAGAATTAGCAGCAAGTTCGTCATTGCTCTCGGTTCGCTGCTATGAACTTCAGTGTTTCCAACCATGCGGTTTCGGAGTCTTTTGAACCCCAACCAAGAAGGCGAGAAACACCTACTCTACCGAATCACTCTGCGCATTTCTTCAGGCCTCGTCTCCACGTCATCTGCTGGCTTCCAGCCTGCAACAGTCACTGCGAATAAGGCACGTTGTGGTACACAACCGTCGGACATACGCAAAACGTGCCCTAACCGACGGAGCTTATTCAGACGAATTCGATGCGATAGGAAGTTTTTGTCCGATGCATTCCGAAACACCCGACCAC